GAGCTCCTGCAGACTCCCACAGTGACCAGTTCCAGACATTCACCTCACGAGCAGGAATGGGGGTGCCCTGCTCTGAGCAGGGAACTGGCTTGAAGCAAGGGCCCTGCGGATCTGATCCTGGCAGGCAGTGCAAAGGATGCTGGGAAGGATGCCAAGGAAGGACAGCAGGGACTCAGCTTACATTGCCCGGGACAACCAAGAAGCCTCCTTGGGAGAAGTGCTTTGGAGTTTTAGAATCCGGACAAGAGCTCAGGAGATGGGGACAGGAGGTCTTCTGAGGGGAGAGAGCTGCAGGAGCCCAGGTGTGCAGCAGGGAGTGCAGAGGAACAGGAAAGCGGGGCACGGACAGGATAACAGTGGTGACAAGGTCTATGGACGAGGCTGCCTGGATTTCAGCCCCAACGTCTCCATTTAATAATTGTGTGGATCTTGGGCAAGCTTTTTGACCTCTCTACCTCATCCCTACTTGTGTTAGGATGTTGTGTTAGGATGTAGTAATTTCATAGAGTCTGAGGATCAAGTCAGTTAATGCATTTAAGTGCTTGGAACAATGCTGAGCACAAAGTGCTCAATAAATGCAAGCTGTAACTATTGTTATTTACTATTATTTATGAGCACGTGGGACAGGGGACATTATGGTTTTGTATTGTCAAAATAATAAGGTTGTTACATGGCCCCTGGAACTCTGCTGCAGACACACAGGCTGTGGGGTCCAGGAGGCAGGGCAAGGGCAAAACCCCAGCCCCTGCTGGCCTGGCACTGAGCTCAGGGCAGGTGCAGAGGGGCCCAGAGCAGTGACACCAATCACATTCACTGAGTGGTTTGTGACAGGCCACTCTGTGGCATCCACACGTCTCACGTGGGCCATGCCAAAAGCCTCTGCCAACAGCCAGGGGCACTGGAAGTGCAACTGGCCAAAGAAGGACCCTTGTCCTTTCAGAGTCAAGTCCACTTGGAGCCCCACGCAGCTCTCCAGAGCCTGTCCCTGGGTCGAGATGCTGGGGAAGGGGCTGTACCTCTAGGACAAGTGTGCATGGGCCTCAGCCACCTCAGCTCCCCAGTTGGCGCCTAGCTGTGGTCTGCGGCCAGTGTGAAAGCCAGGGTGTGCACCTGCAGGTCTAGACGTGCCTGATTGGAGGTGGGAGAGGGAGAAATTGGGCAAAATGTGTCCCTGGCTTCTGGTGGAGGAAGGGAACCGCTGCCAGGTTTTTCTAGGCTCAGGCTGCCAGCTCTGTCCCCCATCCTGGGAGCGTGTGTCGAGGTTCCTGTGCACGCAGGGTGGGAGCGCAGGTGTCAGGCTGAGGGGCACGCCCTGAGCGGGAACGAAGCACACTTCGCAGTGGCTGAGAACCCGGGGTGTCTGCCCTGAGCGCCGGCGCGACCAGGATGTCTCTCTTGGGTGGAGAGTCTCCGCCTGTGGTGGCCTCCGCCAGCTGTAGCAGCCACCCTCTGGGCTGGCCGAGGAGCCACCTGGTAATTACTTCCCCACAAAGAAGTGTAAGATCCCTAACCCTTCATTCCCAGAGCTTGGCGCGACAGGCTACCCAAAGATTCATGAGGGACCTTCCTTCCTTTCTCCAGATCAGCCCAGCCCCTCTTCTGTAAAAGACACTTGTCACACCCAGGGGCACTGAGGCCTCAGCAGCCCCCCCTGCCTCTGAGTTGATGCCAGGGTAATGAATCGGTCCCGCTGAGAAGGCAGTGGCCCAGGGTACCCAAGCCCAAGAGCAGTGACTGTGGTGGCCAGAATCTTCAAGGACGCAAGGGAAGTGAGGTCTCCGGGGGTTTCGCAGTGGGCAGGACAGAGCTCTGCCTTGGAGCCGGAGGCTACGTGGCTTTGGTAGATGGCTGCCAGCATCTGTACAACCAAGAAAAGAGGTCCAAGAGTGGTTTGCAGCCCTACAAATCCGATCTATTCCTCCTGCCCCTCCATTCCTCTCCTAAGGGTAAACTTGCAGGAGGGAGGAGGGGCAAATTCCTGGGCCCAGCAGTGTGATAACATGGGCTACATGGATTGCAGTATATTCTGTGGAGACCCCTCTTCCTGCGTTCACATCCTGCCCCTTCCTTTTATTAGAGCTGTTATCTTCGGCAAATCACTTTCTTCCCTCCCCTCCCCTCCCCTCCCCTCCCCTCTGTTCCCCTCCCCTTCCCTTTCCTCCCCTTCTCCTTCCCCCTCCCCTCTCTTTCCCTTTCTTATGCTGAGGTTTCACCCAAGGCCTCAAGTTTGCTAAGCACACCCTCTACCAGTGAGCTACACCCTAGTCTAAATCACCTATGCTTACACTGCCTTGGTGTCTCTTTCTGAAAATGGGCATAACCATCGAACTTACTTACTAGGGTGTTATAAAATCACACAGGCGATGCTCTTAGCTGGAAAACCTTGCCTAAATGTCAGCTCTGAGACTCCATGTTTTTATTATTCTGGGTAAAGTGCACACTGTAGAGGGGAGACGACTCATCTAGCAGGATGAGAGTGGAAGGAATCAACCCTCCGTTCAGCAGCTGTGTGGCTGAGGATGCTGGTGATGGAGAAGGAAAAGTGTGTGAGTGTAGCATCAGATTTTTACCTTTCTGAGCCTTCGACTCTCACGAGGAGAATGGAGATAGTAATATCCACCTCGTAGAATTGTTACAAAAGTTAACATCAAATAATTGTATGGATGAATCCAGCATAATGCTAGTCCTAATGTGATTTGGGGAAAAACTAGTGTGTATGTCCAGCTGCATAACAAACTACTTTAAATGACACCAGCTTAAGCGAATGCTCAAGCGTTTTGCTCAGTGTGTGATTTGGATGGGGCTTGGTGGGTCAGAGCGTCTCTGCTCCTTGCAGCATCAGCTGAGGAGGCACCGGCCTGGAGGACCCTTTCCCAGGTGTCGGGGAGCCTGACCCTGGCTGTTCCCCGGGAGCTCAGTGGGGCTGTCACCCAGGCCCTTTGCTTGTCCTGGGCTTCACAGTATGGCACTTAGATTTGTTATTGCTGTTGTTATGTTTTTGTCTTTTAATATCAATAAGTCTTAACTATTTTCTTTTTGTTATTGTTGTTAGTTCCAATTTTTACTAAAGCTTCTTAAAATTGGTGCATGTTAGTGATGCAGAGTAGAGAGATTCAGTCTGGAACATCGGTACACACACAGCGTGTTTTGATTATTATCCTCCCCTCTCTTTCCTTCTTCCTCCTCCTGATGCCTTTCCCCATCTCTCAAGGTCTATCTTCTAGTTTTCTGTCATCTCTCCTCAATGTATTTGTTTTTAAAAACTATTTTAAATTGCTTATATGAGAGAAAACATGAGATTTAACTTTCGGAGGCTGGCTTATTTCACTTAACCTGATAGTCTGTGATTTGATCCATTTTCCTGCAAAAGATGTGATCTTGTTCTTAATGGCTGAGTAATACTCCACTGGGTTTATATACCCCTCTTCTTTACTCATTTATCAATTGATGGGCACCGACAGTTTCCACAGCTTAGCTGTCGTGAATTGCACTGTTGTAAACATGGGCATGCAGGTATCACTATAGTATGCTGTCTTTATTACTTTTGGGAATATTATAAAGGGTAATACAGCTTCAAAACAAAATAAAACACCTATGATTCAATCAAACCAACAAGGTGAAAGACCTCTAAATGAAAATGACAGAACACTGAAGAAAGAAATTGAAGGGCATTAGAAAATGGAAAGACTTATCTAGTCCTTGAATCAGCAAAAACTCATATTGTTTAAATGGCTCCATGGGGCTGGGGATTTAGCTCAGCGGCATAAGCACCTGCCTTACAAGCAGGCGGTCGTGAGTTCGATCCCCAGTACCGATAAAAATAAAAAACAAATAAAATAAAAAATAAATGGCTCCATAACCCAAAGTGAGCTATAGATTTAGTGTAGTCCCTATCAAAATACCAAAAACACTCTTCACAGAACTAGAAAAAATAGTCCTAAAATTCATATGGAATTCAAAAGACTTAGAGTAGCCAAAGCAGCAGGAGGCATCACAATACCCAACTTCAAATTCTACTATAAAGCCATAGTAACAAAAACAACATGGTACTGTCACAAAAAGAGATGCAGACCAGTGGAATAGAACAGGGGACACAGAAACAATTCCAGGTGCCTACAGGCAGGCATCAGATTTTTGACAAAGGGCAGCTGAGGTTTGAAGAGCAGTTATTCCCCAGAACCAGGGAGTGGGAGCCGTGTTGGTCCGTGTTGTTTCGCTGGTCAAATCTTGAGCACCACTGCACTCCAGAGAAAGGGACTTAGACTCCCACCCAATAATAAATAGTTTGCGGTCTTTTCAAAGCCACCGCAACTTAGAAGTCCTCCTCCTATCAGCGTTTTAATTTTTTACTGAGTGCCACAAATGAATTTACCTTTTGCAGAAATGCAAGGTTCCACTCAGGAGAGAACTAACAGAGGCACACACGACTCTGCCAGGGGCCTTATCACGGAATCAGTGTCCCTGGTCCCAATTCAGGGCTGAAGGAGCATGCATCCCACACGGTGGCTTTCTAGCTCTGTTACCCTGGGAATCGTCCGTCCCCATCTCTGCCCACCCCATGCCTTTAAAATGCCAAGGATAAGCGAGAGAGAGTAATTTAGATTCAGGAAAATAGATTTTAGCAGGTGACCTAGGGTCAAGTGTAATGAGCATCTTTGCGGCTTTCAATTCCCTGGAGGAGTCTGTTTGTTTTCAAGAGGGCTGCTGCCTGGGAGTTGGCAGTGACTGTTGTCATACATTATTAGGTTATTAATTGATGGGGTGGAGCACTCTGGATGGGGAGACAGGAGGCGGTGGGGGCTGCAGGCCCAGGGTTGCCATGGCAACCCCAAGGCCTGTGGTCTCTGCTGCAGCCTGAGGCAGGAAGGATCCCCGGCCACCCTGATGTTTCTCAGCCCACAGCCTGTCCTGGCTGCCGGTGTCTCGTTGGGCGGGCAGCATCTGTGGTCATGCAGTTTCACACAGCGCCAGCCACACACGCTCTGTGGGTTAAAACTCACCCTCTTCCTGTTGCTTCATTGTATCCTGTCTGTCTCCCCCAGTTCCTTAGCGTCTAGTGGAGTCACCGGTTTCAGCTTTCCAGGCAGGCTGCAGAAAGAAATGGGCTGTAGAGCCTCTCATTCTCAGGCGCTGGATGTAGTGGGTGTGCACTGTCCTTGGCAAAGGACAAGAGGACCCAGCTCCTCCTTCCACGTGCAGCTCACTCTCTGGAGCGGGGAGGGGGATGGGCACTCACACATCATCCATTCCTGGACCTCCCATCAGTTATATGATTGTTGTTAAAATGCAGTGAACACACACTGCACTCAGGTCCAGCACTGCCACTTGCCAGCTGCATGGCCTTGAGTCTCCGTCGAGTGTTAAGCTGGGATGATCATGTGTGCCTGGCAGGGCTGCACTGAGCGTTTCAAGGCACTGCGGAAGGCGCGGTGCCTCACACATGGTGCTAACTTGAGGCACCAAAAAGACCCACCCTGTGTCCCCACTTGTCATCTGAAGCTTCCCAAGCATTCTCTTTCTGGGTGAGGAGCCCTGGCCCAGCTCTCATCGCCACAAAGCAGTACAGCATCTAGATGTCACCTTTCAGAAGCCACAAGCCAGCCAAGGAAGCATGTGGTGCTCTCTGAACCCCCAGGGGAAAGGCTAAAAACACAGCCTCTTGACTTCATCCCTAAGAGATTCTGAGGCAGTGAGTCCCAGGCAGGGCCTGGGCACCTGCATGTCACAGGCATCGAAGAGACACACGGTGGTGTCTGGAGGTTCTCCTGGGAAATTCTGCCTTGAAGAATTTGGGGGTAAGGGCAGGATTTGGCCCTGAAGACTGGGAAGTGGAATACAGAAATGATGGATGAGGGCCATTTGGGGAAGAGGAGCTTCAGCTTGCTGCTGCCCGCCTCTGGGCTTGGGGCACAGCTCCGAGCCCTGCCGGGAAGCCCATCCCTGCTGCCCTGGGCACACCTAGCTGATGGGTCCAAGTGGCTTTGCTTTCATTGCTCTGGACCTTGGCTTGGTCGGGGGCGTCAGAGAAGGAGCCATGCTGGTGTGAGAGCAGGCGTGATGCACTGTGACAGGCTCAGTGTGTGGCACTGTGAAGATGGATGGTGTCCCCGCCACGGATGCTGCAAGCCGGTAGAAGCTGGAAAGACAGGGACACGGTGTCACCTAGACACCCTGCCCCCAGAAAAACGCAGCCCTGCTAACTCTTTGATTTTTAGCTCAGGAAGAACTATGTCAGACTTTGGGACTGAGAACTGTGAGATGAGAAAACTGTGTTGTTCTGAGCTGCTAAGCTTGCAGCAGTGTTCTCTGGAGCACCAGGACATAAATGCAGGAGCCTTTGTCTTTGTAAATCAAACAGCCCTGGGTTCAAATCACAGCTCTGTTGTCTGGCAGAGTGTTGATGTGAGGATTAAATGGAGCATATTCAGAAGGCGTTCATCACAGTGGGTTCATAGCACAGTCTCCAGGAAGGGGTGGTGGCTGCTCTACAAACCAAGTAGCCCCAAGTTCTCCTGTGACCCCAAGAAGGCCTTGGGGCCAGGCATTTGGGGACATTCTCTGTTCTTCTCCTCTTCGACCTTGACACTTGCAACAAAGCCACCCTTGTTGAGCCTCATTTCCTTTGACCCCTCACAAAAATCCTTTGATCTGTAGGATATGTAAGACCCTTGAGATCATGGAGCCAGGAAGTGGATTTGCTGTCATGTGCTGGAGACAGTGCATGGTGCCATCAGCTTGAAGTACACCCCAGGGTCCTCTCTATGCAGAGTCTCAGTCTGCGAGGCCTCTGGAAGGCCAGAGGGTACTCATAGGCTTTGTGGCCTCAGACTCTATGGCCCTCAAAGGAGCTTCCAGAGCAGCTGAGAAAAGCCCGCAACCCTTCAGAGCCACGTCCAAAGAGCAGACATTAATGCTGGGGTCGGCAGCAGAACAGCCAGCCTTCTGGGGACGCCACCCGAGTAGGGGTCCACGTGCTTCCTGACTGCCATCAATGGGGGAGGGGCGGGAAAATGAGGCCAGTGGCCGGCCTGGCCCAGGTCAGGTGCTCTGTCTTCTGGGATGGGAGGTGCCACAGAGGTGGGGGCAGAGCGAGGGCTCAGGCTTCCTGCCCTTCAGCAAAGGCCTCTGGTGGCGGCTACTCCTTCCCTTCTGCACTGTGGGCTGGACAGTGGAAGCCTAGAGGGTGTGGGGCAGCAGCCTCTAGAAGCTATGGTTTACGGCAGGCCACTACTGTATTTAGTTGTAGATTTTCTCAGAGAAGTTGGAGGTAGAGAAGTTAAGGGGTCTTGAGGACCCTGAACTGCTTCCACTTCTAGCCTTCTCTTCTTGATTTTGGTTTAAAAAAAATGATCCTTGCACCAAAGAACACAGTGTGGATTCTGCCTGCTGTGAGTGCTGCCAGCAGGCTCCACCCACTGTCTAGGGCTCAAGTAAGGGGCACCCTTCCCTCTGCACCCCCAAGGCTTTGGCTTGGAGAGAGGAGGGCTCCTACCCTTGGTGGGAATGGGTGCATCTGCCAGTTAGGGGTCTGGGGTACCTGTCTGTGGTCCCTGGGGAAAACACCTGTGGTGGGAAAGTTGGGACATGGTGCCACTGGTGGTATCTGCAAGTATAGACAGTGATGATATTGACAGCCCACATCTGCATGTCCTGTTAGGCTGGGCTGCCCAGAGGAGAGGTGCACAGGGACTCTTTTTGCTGGATGTGACTTGGGAGTAGCCAGACAGCCACTATTGGTCCTGTACTCCTAACCCCCGAGTCCTCCCGTGTGACAATGGAGAGGACCAGTCACACCTCTGCAACCCAAAAATCCGATCTGTGTCTAAGTGCAGATAACAATTGTTTCTCAGTCTTTTGGCTAAGATCCAGTGTAAGTGCAGATAACTGAAGCAGGACAAGTGGCCACAGCTTGTGACTTAAGGCCTTCCAGAAGCAACTGATGTAGTGACAGCTGAAAAAGACCTGCTGCATGGTAGCATTTGCTACTCAAACAGGACAGGACTATCGCAATTGTCCCCCTGGCCACAGTCCCACTGATGGGACTATAGCAACTCGATGCTTGGAGAAGATGAATCCTCCAGAGCATGTGATGGTGTAGGGATGTTACCTCTCCCCAGAGCCCCATGCAAGGTTTCTATTGGCTCTCTGGCTCCAAAATGAATCAGCTTCCAAGGAGCCTGCCTTGGAGGGAGGTAGTTGAGGCAAGAGTCAGGCACCTGAAGTTGATAGCAGACTTCAATCACAGCTCTGTCATCCTTCATCAGCCAGGCCTTGGCCGGGAGTCTCTGCCCCTAGGGGCCTGAGTTTCTCCATCCGTCTAATGGGAGCCAAGCTAGGTAACCTCCAGCAGTCTTTGTGCTCTGCTGTGCAGTGAGGGGAGGAGGAACATTGAGTGCATGCTCCTGAGGGCCAGAGAGTCCAGTGGGCAGAGCCCTGTGCTTGTTGCCTGCTCTGGGCTGCTTAGTTTCAAACCCTGAGGTTCATCTCTTCCTGCCCAGAACCTTGACCCTTTTTGTCCCCATCCTCTGACCCCATCCATTTTTACCACAATAGCAGTTCCCCACTTTTGCAGCACCTTAGCTCTAAAGGAAGTCTTAAAAACCCCAAGATGCTGCCTGATTTAAGTAGCCTGGGGAGGGGCCTGAGCACTCGCATTTTTCATAGGCTCCTGGGTGTTTCCTAAAGCATGCGGCCAGGGCTGAGCCCCACTGACCCAGAGTTGGTTTCCCTGGGGAAACGGCTTGAGGACAGGAGTGGAAATCTCTTCCTCTGCCCCTATTTCTGCTCCTTGTCCCTGCCATGTCCACACCATAGCAGGACCCTAGTATTCTGCAGTCATCCAAGTGCAGATCCAAGGGCTGCCATGAGGACATTGTGGCGGAGGATCACTGTCGGGTCCCTTCTGGTTCAGGGATAGAATTAGCGCAGCCTGTTCCTCCTGTGTAACCCCAGTGCCCGAGAGTACTACCCCCCAGTTGAGGTCTTAGCGTGGCTGGCTGGGCTGCTCACTCACCTGGGTTGCAGAGAGCCTGGAGGATGGAGGATGCAAGCAGGGAGCAGTTCCACTGCCCTCATCCTCCTGCTGGCGTGTGGTTCCTCGGCAACCACCCAGCCTGACACCAGATTGGAGTTCACATGATCCTGCCTCAGCTAGGGAATGGGCGGCCTCTGGCTGGGGATTTTCTAGTCGGCGCTGAGAGGTTTGGTCTGCGGGAAATCGCGGGAGGGAGAGCTAGAGCTCGCCTTGGCTGCAGGGCCACCCAGGCGCTGCGGAGCTACTGCAGGATCCTGGCTGCTGGAGGGTGCAGGGCAGAGCTGAGCTGGGTGGGCAGGGGCAGAGCAGTCTCCTCCCATATTCCACCCCCCGGAGGACTCCCTCCATCCTGATTCCACGAGCTGCTGAGCAGGGACTTCGCTGCCCCCTTCCTGCCTATTCCCTGCCTTGCTGTAGAGCCCATGCTGCTTTCCTGGGACTTGGAGCCTCTAGGAGAAGCCAAGTACTGTAAGCAGGGGACCGTCCTGCTGTTTTTACACTGAACCATTTGTGGGTCAGAAAATTCATTTAGTAGCTCATAAGCTGCATTTAAGAAATGAAATAGAGAAGAAAATAATCAAGGTAAGTGTTTGGGGGAAGTCTGTTTCTCTGTGTGTGTATGTGGCTGTGGGTGTGCCTGAGCCGGCTTGATCCTAGTGAAAAGTGCATTTCTTCCTATGGTTTATGGTTAAAGGGGGGGCGGTGTTCCAAGGCAGCAGGTTGGTGCTGAGATCCTGGGTTCTGGATTCAGATCCACTCTGGCTTTCTGGGTGGGCTTGAGCCGCTGGTTTAGCCTCTCTGGGCGTTGGGTTCTGTGAAATGGGTTGGCAATGCCTGCCCCATCAGACTCTGGGACTGCGTGGGCTCAGATGGGCTGCCCTTCAAGACTGTTCCAGGGCTTTAGAAATGAGACTCTACTGTTCCTTTGTTGTGGGTATGGGGCCATTTGAGGGAAAGTGAGGAACTGAAGAAAATTGCAGTCTGATTTCTATACCCTACTCAGAGGGAAGTAGCCTCTTTTGGGAAAGGAGACGGCTTGTGTGAAGTGTGGAGGGTTGGCCAGCTCCAGGGACGGGAAAGCAGGCCGGCAGAAAACTCTGCAGCTCCGTGGGCTGGGCCCCCACCAGCAGTGCCTGGCACCATGAGTAACTGTCTGTGCGTGCCTGGGTGCCCCACACGGAAGAAGGGTGACGAATGAGATTACTGTTTATGTGCCAGCTGAAAGCCAGCCCAAAGGCTTCTCCACCCCCTGACTTGGAACCTGCAAGAGACCACTCGCTCCTATGAAGGGCTGAGTTTCCCTTGCTCATTAGAATCCGCGAAGCCCCTGCACTGATTAGCATTTGTCTAAAGATGAGCTTCCTAGGTGTTGAGTCACTTTCTGTGTAGTATCTTTCCAGTTTCTTAGCTGGGTGATAACATTGACATTGTAGTTTCTTCCTGCTTTGGGAGACCAGGGGCTGGGGGCACAGTGGGCTTTTTTTCCTCAGTGGGGGTTGAAGGACTAGTTGGCCTGGTAGAGCATCCTGCAGGTACAGGGGACCAGTCCAGGGCACCGCCTGCTGGCCCCTTCTGAAGTGGATTCTCTGAGACTTGGAATGTGGCTGAGCCTAGAGGTTGAGGGAGGTTGCTTAGAGGTGACCCTGATAACAGAGAAAGGGTGAGGTGCAAAGGAAAGGGGGTGCCCCATCCCATCTGTGGGATCCTGTGCAGGTTGCTTCATCTCTCAGAACCTCAGGTTTTTCACCTGTGGAGTGGAGGCTGCTGAGCCTGCTATTGAAAGAGAGAATGAATATCCAGAAGTGTGTCCAGGGAGTGGAGGACTCGTGAGAGATGTGGCTTGGTTTTTCCACCCTATGCTTTCCATTGGCGGGACACTTCTACCCCTAATGGGGACTTTGCCCTTCAAAGACCAAGGCTTTCTGGAGACCAGGGAGAGAAGGGATACTCCAGGAAAGGTGTAGTTTCCATCTGCAGGCATCTGACCTCAGGAAATGGTAGAAGGAAGAGCTGCCTGTGATCAGGACTGTGTGAAAAAGCAGGAAACTCTGTCCAGCTCAGGCAGCCAGAGCAGAGAGGCCATAAGATCTTCTTTTTCCCTTTCCTGTTTCTGTTCATGACATCACTACTCCAGAATCCAGCCTCCGAATCCCCCTATCCATCAACCTGTCCACCACCCATTACCCATCTGTCCACCCACTCATTCATTTATCTGTCTGCCTATTCACACTTCCATCTATCCATCTACTCTTGCACATCAGCCCTTCCATCAATCTTCCCCCATTCATCCACATACTCATCCATCTGTCTACTCATTCCCGCATTTATCTATTAACCTATTCATTCTTCATCCCATGAATCAACCCACCCACCAGCATCCCACCCACCTATCCAGTCATTTGCCTATACTCCCATCCGTTCATCTGTCTACTCACTCATCTGTCCACCTACATTTCACTTAACTACCCACTCACCTCTCTGTCCACCCACCTTCCCACCCATCCATCCATATAAGAAATCATTTTTGAAAGCCAAAAGGACTAGAAACTGAAGAACCTCTCAGAGTGGCCCCTATGACCATCTTCCCTTCTAACTAGTTATCTTGTCTACAGCTTCTTGCTGTTTCTTCTCTGGCTATGCCCGCTTCATGCCTAGATCCTGTCATGCCAAACTGATTTTAGTTCCCCAAGTACACGCCTCTCCCTCTTACATTTGCTGGGTTGCACACATTTTTCCATAGGGAGAGGTTCCCCTCTGCTCGGGCAGCTCTTCCTCCTAAGTGTAGCCCAACTGTCACTGCTCAGGACAGGCTTTTCTGACTAGGTGAGGCCATCTCCAATGACTCCATAAAATCCTGTGCTTTTTGTCTGAGTTTGTTTCTTTTGTTTTTTCTCTTCCCTTAGAAGTGTAAAGTAACTGGACTCTAGGGGTCAGTATTGAATATACTGCCTTCCATGTAATACACGTTCACTGAGCATTATATAAATGGAGACTTGGATGAATGAATGAACAGATAGATGGGTAGATGGGTGGTTGGACGATGGATGGACGGATGGATGGATGGATGGATGGATGGATGGGGGAGTGAGTGAGCTACTAAGTGGATAGGTGCATGATTAGAGAGCCATGGGAGCAGGGTATGAATGATGGTTAGATTCATGTTTCGAAGGACGGCGGTGAGGTGAGACCGGAAGCCTAACAGGATGCTGTTGCGCCTGTGTGGTTGGGCAGTGAGGGACATCTTGACTAAACCATCTTGAGAAAGCCAAAGAGGAGACCGATGTGGTGATTACTTAGGGGCTGAAAACGGTACAACTTAGTGCTGTGGATGAGGGTGATGGAAGAAACTGGCCAGACACCCAACATGAGCGATTGGGCAGGCAGAGTAACCGTTACGTCCAAGGACAGATAGGAGAAAATAATGGACCTGGCATGGGCCTCCCTGGGCAGCAGAAGCAGCTTATGCCATATCAGGCTGGGGAGAGGTCTGGGAATCATAGGAGTGTGATGGCATTGGAACCCTGCAGAAGGTGGCATCCACACACAGTGGGCATAGAGTGGAAAGAACACCCCGACACTGACTGTGCGTGGGAGAGGTGTCCCTGGCACCCACCAGACACTGCCACACGTGGCAGAGGCATTCCTATCTTCTAAACCTGGAGGTTCCCTGAGGTTTTTCTGCAGCCCTTTTCTTGTTTATCTCTTGGTCACTCATGTCTAGCCTGTTGTTGTGGACATTGTACCTGCTCCACAAATACTTGTCCCATGAAATCCTGAAATGCAGGGCTGTTGGGCAAGCTGCTTCATTTCTTTGGATGTCAGTTTCCTAACCTAAAATGTGGACAGTAACAGGGTTGTGAAAATGAGACAAGATGGCAGAAGTAAAATAGTCTGTAAGTAGTAAAAATATCTTGCAAATAAAAGATTATAAGCATTTGGACAGGTTCAGTTAGTAGTCCTTGAGATCTAGAATCTGTCTGAAAATGCCCCCCTTGGGCGAGTTTCAGTTCTGACCACAGCTCTGCTGGGTTTTAAGTTCCCCCTTGCCTCTGCCCCTCTTCCCCTGCCTTGGGAGCTTGTGCAGGACACGTGTGTAGAAGCTGGGCCCAAGCCCTCGCCTCTCCCCGTGCCTTGCCACTCTAAGTGTGGTCCAGGGCCCAGCAGTTCAGCAGAATCTCTGTCACCTAGGAGCTCCGTCCAAATGCAAATTCTTGAGCCCTCCCAGACTCACTGAGTTCAGAAATTGGAGAGAGCGATTGTGTAATGTTTTAACAAAGCTCCAAGGAATTTCAGTGCACCCAAGTTCAAGATCTACTGTTCGTTTTGTGCCAAAATGACCAAAGGATGTGCTTTAATCTAAGTATACCTGCTTGGCTCTGCAGACTCCAACATTTCTGACTTGGGTTACCAGATTTAGCTTACTGCTGGCCTAGGAAAGAGGAAGCTACAAACCATTGCCCCACCCCACTCCACACAGCCATGCACCTACCACTCGAAAACAACAGACTCGAGGTCCGGGTGACTCTCAGGGAATTTCCAAGACATGACAGCACATGCTTTCATGGTGGCTTCATTTGCCCTGTTTTGTTGGAACCTGTGAGCCTGTGCTAATGAATGGATTGTATCTTCCTGCCAGTGAATTTGACCTGGGCTACGGAACACTAGGCAAATGTGAGTGGGGACCCTCTGGGATCCATGCAGGAACCTATGCTTCCGTTGACATCTTCATAAGTGAGCCTGGTGAGTGAGCAGCCCCACAGGGTGGGTCCAATTCTGATTTAGCCAGCTGTGTGCAGCTGGGGGGGATCCCAGTCCTCGACATCACCAAAACATGTAGATGAAAGCCGATACACAAACAAAGCCCACGGACCCTGCTGATGCAAATGGAGTATCCATAATAGAAAGCAATAGGGTGGCTCCTCAGAAACTGAACACAGAACTTCCACAGGACCCAGCCATTCCAGTTCTGAGCGCACACCCTGAAGAACTGAAAGTGGGAACGGGAACAAGTCTTTGCATACCCGTGCAAATATTGCAAATACCCCAAAGTGGAAACAACCCAAAGTATCTACTGACAAATGAATAAACAAAAGTTGGCATGTGCATATAGTAGCATTTTATTCAGCCTTGAAAACAGAACATTCAGACACATGCTCCAACATGGACAGGTCTTGAAGACATTATACTCAATTTTATTTTATTTTTTTGGTACTGGGGATTCAACTCACAACCTTGCACTTGCCAGGCAGGTACTTACACGACTGAGCTAAATCCCCAGCTATATTCAATTTTAAAAGGCAGAATATAGGATAAATACTATATGATTACATAAAACATTTTATTCTATCTGGTTGAAGCTTATTCTGTCAGGCATCTTTCTTTGTTAAATTCTCAACAATATGAATTTTTCTCTAATTCAAATTAAGATTATCGTCTTTGATGCTCCTTTATTCTTTGGGGGGGGGGACTATGTTGTTCATCTTTACATCTGTCATTCGATGTGGCCCTGACACTGATGCCTAGGGGCAAGTGTCCTTATCTCTGTTTTCCAGGTGAGAAAACGAAGGCTCCCGAAAGGTGGGTGTTTGTAGAGCCCCATAGTGGTGAGCCTGGCCCGGTACTCACGTCTTTCATTCCCAGGCCCCATGAAGGAGAGGAGAGGTAGCGCCTGCTAAGGAGCAACCAAGAATCTGGGCTGGGCTCTGCAAGAAGCTTTTGTTTCCTGCCATAGCGCAGTAGGTTGTGGGCAAGGCCACAGCTCCTCCGAGGCTGTCTGGAGCGGTCCCCCGGAGGAGCTGTGGACTCAGACTTACCAGACCTAATTAATGCAGTCCCAGGAACAGGTAGGAAAAATGTGAGTGACGCTATTCCTGTGACCAGGAGTGGTGTGGCCCTCACCAATGTGTGTGGGTTGGAATGGGTGTTTACCTGGAGCCTCCCTTGGAGAGCTAGGTTCAGGCTGGGCTCATGCTTCTAAGATTTCCTGGGCTTACTTGTTGCAAATAGAGACCAGGAGAATACATAAAGAATAGGGAACATTTATAACAAAAGCCAGAGAAGGAACGGGGAACCGTAAGCCACATTCCAGGGTCTTTGTATGTGACTCATTTAGATATGCTATTTGCATTGTAATTGGTTGGTGAGTAGACTCTGCAAGAGGTGATTATATGGTGAATGTTTAAAGAAAAAATTTATTACAGTAAAGAGACATTGCCAATAATTTCCCTCAAAATAATCCCCCTCCTCTCTTCCAACACACTTATCTCATTGTTCCTGCCACTCTCTGAAGCCGTTCTGGAAAGTCCTCCTTCCTGAGCACCTTTCCAGGGTGTGATCAAGAGTACAGTGAACACTGCTGCCCAGTGTCATCCAGTGGAAAAGGTTGGCTCGTAAAAACATGGCGGTGTGTCCTTCTTCATTATAGTCACTGGAGTTGGCACCATGTGACTCCTGGCTCTTCCCCACAGTCAAAATGACCATCAAGGGTAAACACTGTGAATCAGTTCAGCACACTGAGGCAGCCACAGCCATGCAATTAAAGACACTCTTGAAAGAGCACTTCGAGAAGTGCTTCAGAAAATGGCAAGAAATGGGATAATGTGTTCCAGGTAAGGGGAGGTGTTTTAAGGGGGATTTTATTATCATAGTTTTTAAAAAAGATTTAAACATTTTCCACAGTTTTCAATCATACTTCATCAATGAAAGATGTGCAACAGATAGCAACATGCCTTACGTGCAGTAGGTGCTATATAAATGCTAGCTGTGATTGTTCTAAGACTTTCCCACCTTTGACTTGCAGGGCCTTGCCCACCACCAGTGATGCCCTGCCCTGGCTATAGCTTGAGCCACCTTCTGTAAACAACATGGCGGTGGAGAGTCCTTGAGCCCATGAAGGGTGAGGCCCCTTCCAGCCCAAAGATGAGGAATATCACTGCAAATAATGACTCACTGAGCTGTGACATTGACCACACCATCCACCAGACGCTGGCCCCCGTGGTCTACGTCACGGTGCTGGTGGTGGGCTTCCCGGCCAACTGTCTGTCCCTCTACTTCGGCTACCTGCAGATCAAGGCCCGGAATGAGCTGGGCGTGTACCTGTGCAACCTGACCGTGGCGGACCTCTTCTATATCTGCTCGCTCCCTTTCTGGCTGCAGTACGTGCTGCAGCATGACCACTGGTCCCATGGCGACCTGTCCTGCCAGGTGTGCGGCATCCTGCTGTACGAGAACATCTACATCAGCGTGGGCTTCCTCTGCTGCATCTCCATCGACCGCTACCTGGCCGTGGCACATCCCTTCCGCTTCCACCAGTTTCGTACCCTGAAGGCGGCTGTCTGTGTTAGCGTGGTCATCTGGGCCAAGGAGCTACTGAGCAACATCTTCTTCCTCATGCACGAGGAGGTCATCAAGGACAATGACCAACACCTCGTCTGCTTTGAGCACTACCCCATCAAGGCCTGGCAGCGCAGCATCAACTACTACCGCTTCCTGGTGGGCTTCCTCTTCCCCCTGTGCCTGCTGCTGGCCTCCTACCAGGGCATCCTGCAGGCTGTGCGCCGGAGCCACGGCACCCAGAAGAGCCGCAAGGACCAGATCCAGCGGCTGGTGCTCAGCACCGTGGTCATCTTCTTGGCCTGCTTCCTGCCCTACCACGTGCTGCTGCTGGTGCGCAGCGTCTGGGAGGTCAGCTGCGACTTCGCCAAAAGCATCTTCAATGCCTATCACTTCTCCCTACTCCTCACCAGCTTCAACTGTGTCGCCGACCCTGTGTTGTACTGCTTCGTCAGCGAGACCACGCACAGGGACCTGGCACGCCTGCGCGGGGCCTGCCTGGCCTTCCTCACCTGTGCCAGGACCAGCCGGGCTCGGGAAGCCTACCCGCTGGGTGGTGCCCCTGAGGCTTCTGAAAAAAGCGGGACCCAGGGCGAGGAGCCTGAGCTGCTAACTAAGCTCCACTCAGCCTTCAAGACCCCTAGCTCACCTGAAGTGGGAAGGTCCCCCATGGTCTAGCTGGGGTCACCTGTCATTGGGGATAGGTGAGGCCTGAGGCTTCAGCCCGCTGGCCTTGTGGTCCTGAGCTTGCACCTGGCTGCCTCCCTCTTTGACCTGAAGGTGCATCTTCTGCTGTAGGGATGGATGGGCTGGCCACAGCTGGAGCCTCTCTGGTCCCCGGAGGCCCACTCCTGCTCGCTGAGGCTGGTGGCACTGTCCAGGATAGAATGAACCCTGTCAGTTCCTGGGCATCCTCTGCTACCAGCTGTGCTGCTGGTGGGAGGGACCAGTGATTTGTCACTTCCAGGAAGCTTAGGAAGAGCAGCTGGGTGGGAGTGTACAGTTTGAGGACACAGAGGCTAGGAAGTGGGGAGATGCAGGTGGGGAAGTGGGTGTTCACCTGCCATTGCCTTCCAGTGTCACGGTTGTCACAGATGACACCTGTGCAAACGTACTGCTGTTACCATGAAGCTGCATGTTGCTATGAACATTCAAAGGCCACTCCACAATGGGGTAAGCAGGGAAGACTGGATGGGGAGAACGGTGGAAGAGGCATTTCTAGCACTGGGGTGGAAACAGGTATACCTCAGGAGTGCAGCAGGAGAGAAACCCCATCTCCAGCCAATATCACACTTTATGGGGAGAGGTGAGAAGATCCCCCAAGTCTGATGGCTAACGGCAGACAAAGTCCAGGGCTCCTGAGGAGATCCTGGGCTCCTTCCAACAGTCAGTTTATCCTTAACCAAGTTCTTGACACATCTCTGCTACTTAGCTTTCTGTCTCCATCTGCCCAAAAGTGCCAGATTTGGGGGTCTGGAGTGAGGATACACACGCACACATGGTGTGTGTGTGGGGGGATTAAAAATGCCAGGCTCTCCATGACAGCTGTTTGTCAAGACAAAGACAAGACTGAAATAAGGGTCATGTCTCTTCCCCAGCCCCTGCCACGCACACCATGGGGCATCTAGCATCCTAGATAGGACCACAGCATTATCACAGGATTCTCAGATACACCCAGACCAACAAAGCCCATGCATGTAGCCCACAGGCTTGCACCTAACCTCCACTTTGGCTGTGACCAAGAGAAGAGGTGGCCTGGAACTTACCTTTCCCGTTTCTCACCCAGGCTCCTCTGCCTGATATCCCACCTCACCTCCCCAGAGGTGGCAGTGGACCCATGAGTGTTTGAAGCCCAGGACCCAGATCACCAACTTTGTCCTGTCCTAGAAGGCTTTGTGCCTGGCCGTGTTGAGGTGTCCTTCCCACCTGCAGCACACCCACAGGTTTCTCCTGCTCTGTTCTGCAGTAAAGCTTCCTGCTCCCAGAGCGCCACTCTCTCAAACTGCTCTGGAGAGCAGCAGAGAAGACGCCTGGGGTTCTTCAACCTCATCTGCCTTGTTCAAAGCAAGGACTTGGCTTTGTTCTGTGCCAAGCACCACCCTGGCCTGGTGAACACACCAAGGCCCAGAGGAGCCACTTGCTGCCCCAGAAGACCACGTTCATGGAAATGCTAGTGCTTTAGACTTTCTGTATGGGGGCTGCAGCCAGCTCTGACTTCACAGGACATGTCCTCAAAGACCTGGGGTGTGAGCCCCTGCACACCAAGAGCTAGTGGTGGCTGAATGGTGGCGAGGGTTCAGTAGGGAGTAGGTGTTGGTTGGCATCAGTAGGACATTTCTGAAGTCTGCTAAGGCTGGGGTTTGGGAGGACAGGCAGAACTCGATCTTCAATCGTGCTTCTCTCTTCTTACCAACCTCCAGGAGGCTTATCCTTTAGCTGTGTCCCTTACTCCATATATCAGAGGAGCCCGGAGGCGGATAACCCAAGCTGGAGATGCCCTAGGAAGGGTGCGTATTGCGATCCCAGGCCTATACTTGGCTATGAAGCCCCATTCCAATTCCTTGTGGAATTGAGCCTCAAATGACCTGGGAGGTTCTCTTCTTTTTCCTGAAAGAAGAACCGGGATCTTGATGGGGCAGTAGCATTGGCTGAGCCCTCAAGTCTCTTTGTTCCATGGTATTTGTCCCTAATTTTGACCTTAAACACAGACGTTCTTGCTGGCATGGGCTGAGATGAGTCGAGAGCAGTTCTGTCCACTCTAAAGAAGTGTATTTTTGTATTGTCCTATCTTTTACACCAAGTGTACATGAGATGCATATGTGTGTTGTACTATGCAATGGATTTATGTAGCAAACTTCAGTCTGCAAATAAAGAAAAGTAACCAGCCACAGTGGGGTGTGCTGCATTATTTCTGCAGGAGGGGGTCTTCCAACAACCGGGACATCTATGGGGCCCTTGAAACTCTCAAAGCAATTATAAAAATCCTGGAATTGACCTCAGAGGAAACTCAGAACAATTGGAATATTTGCCTTTGGCCCTCCACATGTGGTTAAGGACAGAGCCCTGCAGGGAAGCAGGGCTTTATCTCTGCTAAGTGTCACCTTGTTCAGTATGTTTTTGCAAATCCACTCTTGGATTTAATTTCTGAGGACAGAGCCCAGCCTTACCATTTAGACAATGGTACTCTCTATCTTTGGCCACTTGATCCTTTTACCTGCTGTGTAGTGATTCTCAGATCAAAGGGGGCTCCATTAGACAATATCCTCCTTACCAGAGGAGAGACCCACAGCACAAAGACCCATGCATGGTTCTCTTTGGGGATTTCCTCAGTGGTGGGGTGTTGTCTGAGGAGGTCTACAATGGTTGGTCAGCCTCTCCAGGATGGAGGATCTTCTCAAGGTTGGAAGACAGTATGTTTATGACTAAGGATTAACCATATCCTGTTGAAATGTAAATTTGATTTTGGTTACTTAATCCTCCTGGAGTCCTGGACTATCCTGCAAGTCTAGATCTGTATTCTAAGGCTGAAGTAAAGACAGTACTGGGGATTAAGGCTCCTTGCTCTCCTACGGGTGTGGGTGGGAGAGAAAGTCCATCTGGTTTGGACTGAAGGTGGCAGAAACCATTAAGATTCCTTTCTTGTTTGCCAGTGTTGCTTAGTAAGGTGAGGACTCATCTTCCTGTATATATACACTGGTCTGTGGGCTGGCCAGAGAAGAGTGGGAGAAATCTTCAACACAAATACATTCTCCATCTGCTGTTTTCCTCAGCTGATACAACGAAGACAGAGCCAGAATCTGACCCTCTTGGATCCATACATTTTTTTGAAAACCCCCTTCTTGTGGCTGGTGATTCTGTAGACTTCAGTCCTGGAATTCATCTGGCATGATACTGGTCTTTGATGACATCTATCCTGGAATCATAGCGATGCTAGTGCTCTGGGGAAATACTGGAATTTCAATCCCATTTATTTTAATTTGACAACTACCATGGAATATTCATGCTGGAATGTACAGTGAGGTCATGCTATCTAACTCCCTGAAGTATTGCCTCTACATCCTCAAAAATGATGGCCCAGTCTCTCCACAAACACCACCAATGATAGATGACTCACTGCTATCCAAGACAAGTCATTCCAGGGATGGGCAGAAAATGTTAACTATTAGTGAGCCAAAGTAGAACCGTGTTACCCACTGTGTTACCTTAATTATGGCTCTGGAGGCAATGACCCTTCAAGTACAGTTGTTTGAAGACAACTCTCATGTCCCACTTTTCAGCATTAAACCTTCTGAGCAGTAGTGAGCCAAGGTGGATTATACTGTAGGTACAAATAAACGTTGCCCAAAGCACAGAGCCTTTTAAAAACAAGCAAATCTTTGGTGTAGCATAGTGGTAGAGTGAATATGATTAGGAGTTCAATCTTAGCTCAAAAAGTCAAAGCCAAATCAAACCAAACCCAATAAAAGTTTCTCACGTTCATTAGAGGCAGTTTTCTGGCAGGTCTTTTCCTAAGCAATGGCAGTGATTCACAATCCTTCCATGAAGAGCTTCCATCATTTTGGGGTCTTCCTATTCCATTGGTGAGATCGTAGCAACATGGCCCCAACCTAACTGCAAAGGAGTCTGGGAAATGTAGTTTTACTATACACGAAGGAAGAAGCAGAATTGTTAAGCATCTGGCCAGTCTTCGACATACATGTCCATTTAAGAGCTTTCACTTTCCTATACCTTTATTTGAACAAAATCTGCTTCTCCAATGTGCTACCTGGATCTGAAGTGAAACTAAGTTCGTCTGGCCCGCTCCACGGGAAAATGGGCCATTTTCCTCTCCACTCCTGCCAAGCAGATCATAGAGCTGACATATTGTGTTCTGGCAAATTTCTGGAAAGCCACATCTTCTCCATCCTGCTACAGAGCAATGAACTTCATTGTGGAGCCAGTGGATGCTGTGGGTAATGGGGAGGAAGTAGTGGATGCAATGGGCTGGACCAAGTTGGGGCTGGGGGTCAATTAGGGCCCACGCAATGAGAGGTGACCTCAAAGGAATGGGACTGGAGTATACCTTAGCCAGGGGAACTCAGGCTTCCTGCAGGCTCTGCTATGGAACATGCTATGTCAGTGTATCCAGGGTCCCCTGCTGCCCTTAAATTGCCACAGAACATTTTGCTCCAGGACTCCTTCCCCAACATTCCTGCAAATGCCCACAGATGCTCATATGTCCCACAAATCCATCCTGGTCAGCACCAGGCTCACCTCATCATTTCTTGTAAATCATCTTGTGACCCCATCACCAACTTCTCTAGCCTATGACCAGGCTCACTATCCCATCACAACATGGACACAAGCCCTTCCTCATGCATGGCACAGCTAGGACAAATTCGAGCAAAGGCAAGCAAAACTTTGCTAGGGGTCTGAGCAGAAATCATTTTGTGGAATGGAAAAGCTTTAAAATTGGATCCTGGAAAGCAGAATTCCCACGGTTGTTGGGCCAGACCTAGTCAGAGGTCTTCTTCTGACCCTCCTTTGCTCTGTGGCCCCTGCTGCAGGGCCCCAGGCCTGCCTCTCCCTGCAGGGAGCCTTCCGATGCCCCACTGAGTCTAGCATCCCTATTTCCAGCTTTCTCTGGACTCAGCTGGATCTCAATTTGTTTGTTTCCCAAACAAATTCATCTCTTCATGCAATTCTGCCCTCAGTGGGGACAATCTATTACATGGTTATGCCTCAGGCAGCTCACAGAATTCTGCTACCACTATTTCTTATGATTTGTGTCTTGATGCTCACCCCACAAAGCCTCATACTGTCAAGGGAAGTTGGCTTTTCAGAGGTGACTGAATCTAGAGTTTGTGACTGGTTCATTGTCTATTGCTGGGATTAGTGATGTGAGGATACACCTGTCCTAGGATGGTAACCTGCACACAATATGCATACAAAGGAAGAAAAAGAGGCTTGCTCTGCCCATTTTTTCATTTGCTGCTGTTGTATCTTCTGCCATTAACTGCTGCCCCTCTGCCATGCCACCTCGCCTTGGAGCCTGCTGATTATGGACTGAAACCTCTACAAACTGTGAGCTAAATAAACTTTTCTCTCTTTAACTTTGGGATTTGGGTAGTTTGTCCCAGAATGAAAAAAGTAACTAAGACAGAATTTGGGACCAGAGAAGTGGGATTGGGGCTGTGTATCATCTAACCATGTGGTTCAGGAGCCTTGGGAATTAACTTGGAAAGATTTTGAGAGATTGGCTGAAAATTTAGCCCCTGTATGTTGTAAACTGTATGGGAATCTGGTCAGAGCCTGGAAAATCAGAGTACTGCTGAAGTGTTGCCATTGAGGATGAAGCTCAGGAGGTTTCTATTGAGAAGGACTGCACTGGCTAATGGATCCCTGGTTTTGTATATTGTGCTTTGGCAGGAAGTTAGTCTGCATTTTGCCCATGTTAGAGATATTGCTTGGTGAGCAGCAGAAAATTTTCAATGTAGTCTACTCTTGGGATGGTAGCATGCTTCCTGAGAGCTTTTGGCCAGATCTATGTTTGAAATTAACAGCAAAGAGCCAGAAAGTTGATTTGAAGCATTTGGCCAGAGGGGAGGCTCCAGTGGAGCTGTGGATTGCAAGGATGAAACAGAGGAGAATGTGGCTGTTGAGAACAGGACAATGGAAAAAAGAACTAAGACCTTTCACCAGAAGGGATGAATGGATTTGAAATGCAGGAGATCCCTGATATTTAGTCTTGCCATGCTCTGTTGTTAAAAGTTAATGGGAAGCAAGAATTGTGATCATAAGAGCTCTTTTAAGATGATTTTAATGTAGTTAGATACGTTGGTGATCAGGTTAATTAATCAAAGTATTGTGGTTTTAACCTTGAGTTTTTATCACTCTTTGAATATTTTGCTTTTGATGCTGAAATGAGTACAATAAAATTATATATGTAGTTGTTATATTAATGTAAATCTGAGTAGACCAACACATGTTAATTTTTCAAAAATCTGCCACTAGAGACCATAGTTTAAGGAAATGTATCTGGTTATCACGTTGATCAGATTGTGGTGGATTAACTAATGGTGAACTCATAACACCCAGCTGAACTGAATCAACATGGTGCTGGGTGTGGAAGGCCCACCTGAGGATTGTTCCAACAGCATAAAAAGAGAACTAGAGACGAAGATGGTGCACTGTTGATTCTCCTAGAGAAGTTTGTGCTGGCTTTCCTCAGGAACTTGGCATTCTCATCACTGGAGAAGCTAGGGACCTTGTTGTTGCTGAGGATGGCTATGGTTCTTTTCATGGAGCACTTTTTCTTACTCTGAACATCACTTCTTGATGCCAGGGAAGATCTTTCAGCCTGCTGGCACAGATTTTCTTGCTTCTACCACTGACCTTTGCATCTTCCCAGCACAGATCCTTGAAAAAAACTTGCATGAGACATTGTTGTGGAGTCTAGGCCTCCAGTGGAAGATATTATCATAGGCTCTAGGTCTTTAGCTGGTCCCATGCGGGACATTGCTGTGGGATCCAGGCCCTTAGCTAGGTTCTTTGGGTCTCTACTGTGTGAACAGATCTCCTGCACTCTTTCGCATTTGACTCTTTGGGTGACTATTATAATCCTATAAATGATGTATCTTGTATTGTTTTCCTTGTAAACCCTGACTATACCAAAATTGGCATTAAGAGTGGGGTCAATGCTGTGACGTTGCCTGGCCACATGGCTTAAGAGCCTGGGAAACTAATTTGGAAAGGTTTTTAGAGACTGGCTGAAGAGACTATAAACTATATGGGAGCCTCTGGTCAGAGCCTGGAAAATCAGAGCACTGATAGAAAGGCTGCCATTTAGGATGAAGCTCAGGAGTCTTCTGTTGAAAAGAACTGCATTGACTGCTGGATCCCACATGGTGTGTTTTGAACTTTGGCAGGAAATTGTTCTGCAGTTTGCTTGTGTTTAGAAATATTGCCTGAGTGACAGAAAAATTTCAATGTAATCTACTGTCGGGACAGTGGCATTGTTACTGTTGAGAGATTTTAGCCAGGTCTATGTTGAGAATCAAGAGCACAGAGCCCAACAGAATGATTTAAAATGTGAATGTGGCCAAAGGGAAGCTCCAACAAAGCTGTGAACTGCAAAGATAGAGCAGAGGAAACCTTGATTACTGAGAAAAGAATACAAAAGGTTGGCCTGAAGACATCACAAGAAGCAGGAAGTCTCCATCCTTTATAGCCTCAAAACTGCAAAAGTGAAAGACTTTGCTTTAAGAAGAAAGTGCCCAGAGCACCAGGTTCCAGGATGGCAGTGGCCTACAGAATTTATTTTTCAGAGTTAGATTCACAGTGCTCAGTGATTCAGGCACTCAACTCCTGGCTACAACAAAAGAGAAAGGAAAACCTGGCTACTGCTCTAGCTGACAGCAGATCTTGGCATTATCCATGTGGTGCTGGTTTCAGATACAAACAGAATGCAAGTGTTGTGGGATTAAGAAAGCTTCTACCATGATTTCAGAAGGTCTGGGAGGCCAGTGTGTTCCTGAGAGAGCAATATGTGAAGCTATAAGGGTGAAGCCAGAGGTGCAGTGAAGACTCCAGAAGTTTGGAGAAGCCAGGAACATGGATTGTCTGAGGAAAACTGCAAAGATTGAGCAGAGTGGGGCTGAGAGAGGCCGTAGGAGCTACAACCTCCAGCAGTGCCATGGGGTGGAATCCCTCAAGTTCACATCTTGCCACAGATTGCCTCACATGCTGCACATGGAACTACAGGATTTAATGTTTGCCCTGCTGGATTTTGGAGTTCCTTTGGTCCCATTCCTATTTGTAACTTTTGGAATGAAAATGTTTATCATGTGCATCTGAATGTTGGAAGTGTTTTTTATTTGGACAGGGGCTCACAGTTAAAAATTTGCCTTATATTTCAGAAGAGACTTGGAACTTGGACTTTTCAGCAATGCTGAAACTGTTAGGATTTTGGCAACTCTTAGAGATGGACTAAATGCCTTTTGCATAAAGGGAGGTGCATGAATCTTGAGGGACCAGAGCTGGGATGTTATGTGTTGGGTTTGGATTTCTCCCCAAAGCCTCATGTAGTCAGGGGGACAAGTTTTCAGAGATGGCAGAAGCTAGAGTTTGTGATTGGTTCATTGTCTATTGCTGGGATTAGTGATCTGAATACTATACTTGCCCTAGGGTGGGTAGCCTGCATACAACATAAGGGAGGAAAAGAGGCTTGCTTGCTCCTTTTAGTCTGTGTTGCTTTTGTAACTTCTGCTGCCATGAACTGTTGCCCCTCTGCCACACCACCATGCCATGCAGCCAGCTGATTATGAACTGAAACCTTTACAAACTATGAACTAAGCAAACCTCTCCCTCTTCAACTTTGGGCATCAGACACTTTGTCCCTGCAACATGAAAAATAACTGAGACAGTCGTGCAAAAACAAAGGTGCATTCCTGTCTTTCCTCTTAAATATGAGTCAGAAGAATGCTGGCATCTTTTCTGTAGTAATGGCTTCTTTCTTATTGCCATCAGGATTTCAAAAATGTCAGGATGTCATCTTCATCAAAGGCCTCTGTGTCATGGAACTCTGCAGTCGCAAATCAGGAATCAAAAATTGTAACTGGATGAGTCCTAGTAAAGCTGCAGGTGGGCTCCATGAGCTGTGAGGTCACAGGTGCAGGACCAGGTGCTCATTTGAGGAGTAAAGCCTGATGCCACTGATACATGCACATGCTCTGCAGGTGGGAATCCCTGCCAAAGTGATAAGGCAGAGACCTCACCCCATTATACTTCAACTCAGGCCTCAGCACACCCCTGTGAAGGAAGAACTGGAAAATAACTCTAGAACCACTTTACTATACTTATGTTTTATTAGAGTATAAAATGTTACAGTTTATTTTTATACTATGTTCATTCTTCAAACTCCTTTTTTAAAAAAAAATCAAACTAAACTAAGCATGGCATCTCATGCCTGTAATCCCAGCTACTCAGGAGGCAGGAGGATTGCAATGTAAAGTTCGGCTGTAGTAATTTAGCAAGGCTGTGTTTCAAAATAAAATAAAAATGGTTAGGAGTGCAGCGCTGTGGTAGAGGGATTGTCCAACATGCTTGAGACTCTAGGTTCATTGCCCAGTGATGAAAAAGAACCAAAAAACAAACTAGACACATTTTAGGAATTGAAATAAAGTAAGCCTGACAAACAGTAGAGCCTGAGCTGGGTCTGGCCCATCCGGATGAATCAGCTGTCGCTCAGCAGGGTACCTACCACACAAGATGCTGTCCTGGTGCAAGATCTAGGAGTGGAATAGGGCATAGTCAATGCTTCAGCTTCTGATTCTGTTGGAAAACGTGCAGTGGGAGTTTATGAAAGAGACCAGGACATGCTGACTAGGACGACTGCGTATCCCCTGAAGCTCTGGTCAGTTTGATCCCACGTTGGACTCCAGGGCTGCAGGTGCCCACCAAGGCTGGGAGGTGCAAGTGTCCAGCTTGTGCTTGTGCTTGGGCTTCTGCTGAGTGGGTGAGGAGGAGGTGGAAGGAGGGGTTGATGGGACATGAAGACAAGAAGGGAGGCAACTTCTGGAGAGATCATTTGCCTGAGTAAACAAAAGGCAGATTGAGAAAGAAGGCCTTTCAAAGCTATAAATGTTTTGGTGATGCTGAGTAAACCTTCCACAAAGGCCAAATATTTTGTAAGTACACACTCCATGTCTGTGCATTTTACCCTTTCTTGGCCTAAAGGATTATTCCTGGCCTTGGTGAGACCTATTCTCATGCTCTGCCTACTGATTAATTGCTGTCTGTGTAAGTGACAGGCAAGAAGGCCCTCAGGATGAACACAGCGGCTGCCTGAATGAGCCCCCATGAAGGGGGCTGAATGCCCCTACAGCATCAAACACACAGCACAAATTCCAAGCCCCATAGAAGAGTCTCTGGGCCGCACCATCAGCCCTATGTGGCTGTTTCCTCCCGGTAAGAGCACAGGGAGTGAGTATACTGCTCCCCCAGGGCCAGTGTTGGTTTGCAAGGCTGCTGTGATAAGAAGCTGAGGCTCTTGGGGAGCTCCTGCCTCTGTATAGGCCTGACTGTCACGCAGGAACCTTGCACATTCTTAACACGGTCAGTCACATGTGCCCCTCGGTGATGTCCGCTAGCTTCTGGATCATCTCGGCATGGACTCCAGGGAAGGGCAGCCCATCCACCTCCATGCCCATGATGCCTGAGACTCCACTTCGGACCTTGTGCTGTACTAGGATGCCCAACGTTTTTCTTCCTGAAAAAATAAAATAAGACAGGTAGAAGTTGTGGAGGGTGATGGAAAAGCAAGAAACACATCTGCAATTAAAGAAAGCGTTTGACTTGAAGTGTCTCTTTGAGAAGTAAAGTTTCTTTGTCATTTCAGTTACTTAGGAAGGTGGAGCCGAAAGATCACAAGTTCAAGACCAGCCTGGGCAACTTAGCAAGACACAAGTTTCAAGAGAAAATTTAAGAAAAGGCAGCAGAATGTAGCTCAGCGTTTGCTTAGCATGTACAAGGCCCTGGGCTCAATCTCCATATTTAATAAAATATTTATTAAATTATTAAATCCATAATTTAATAAAAATATCAAATTTTTAAAATGAAAAATACTCATGTCACTGGAAGGCTTACAATGAAAAGTAAACCTGTATCATGCCTCACTGGTCCCCAAATCCACTTTCCACAAGTCCCCACTCACACAGGTCAGGCTGTTCCTTCAAGTGGTCACCTTCATGTCACCAAATCCTGTGCTCATATGGAGACCTGCATTTTCTTGCAAACACTGAAGATTCATCCTCCAGCAGGGGTTTTATAGGCCATACCAACCCGGCCCTGCCCAGCCCTGCCCAGCTTTGGATGATCCACCAGAAGAGGCCCTCATTCCCCCAGACCCTACCCTGAGGCTCCCGCATGGGCCAAATTCTGCCACTGTCACTATCTAGATGTTGCCCAGTCTGAATAAGACAGCAACCAAAAGGAGAAAAGCCCTGGAGAAAGCCAGATTCCTGGATCCAGAAGCGGGGTAGCTTTGGGGCCAGACAGATCCTGGCAGGTGTTTGGAGAGCTGTGTCTTGGGGTCCTCTCCTATAAAAATGGGGATGTAGCCAGTAATGACAGCAATGTCCTCTTCAGAGGCCGTGGCAAGGATTCACTGTGCCAGTGGAGGTAAAGACTAGCATGGCCCTCGGCACACGGTAGGAGGCTGAAAATGATTACTAAAGGTGGGGCTGGGGCTCAGGGTTTTCCTTCTTTTGACTCACTTGGTGGTTAGGGGGGGAAAGATTTGATCTTCCATCTCCCTTTTTCCTATTCTCTCCACAAATAAGATCCCCAAAACTTAGCTGCCTAAGCCCCCAGTGCATCTGTCCTTGGTGGGACAGCCAGGTCCCTCTGAGGAAAGTGGCTCTCAGAAGGCATCAGGCAGGAGGAGCAGAGGTCAAACACATCCTCCCCTCCTCCTCCACAGGCAGAGGCAAAGGTGAGACAGGAGGCCAGAGGGCAGGAGGGCTGGGCGAGAAGGCTCTCCCCTTCCTGGAAAGGCATTTTCTCATCTGTTCATTGTCTGTCAGTTTTATCCAGCACCTACAGGGCCAGATCCTGATCTAGAGATACATGAGTGAGAGTGACAGAGCCCTGCCCCCAGGAGTTCCCATCTAGATGAGTAACTGGTTAGTCATAGCACATAGGGGGTCACAGCAGAGAAGGGGGACACCCAGTGCAGCTTATGGTGGTCTAGGGAAAACTTTATGGTGGAGAAGTATTATGGACTGAATATTTGTGCTCCTCAAAATCAATACAGTGGATCCCTAATCCTCAATGCAATAATATTTGACCTTTTTTATTTTTTTGTACAAGGAATCAAACTCAGAACCTCACACTTGCCAGGCAGCCGCTGTGCTGATGAGTTATATCCACAGCCCACTGTGATAGTATTTGCAACTAAAGTCTTAGAGAGGAACTGAGATTAAGATCAGGTCATAAAGGTAGGCCTTCGTGATGGGATTAGTGCCCTTAGAAGAAGAGTGACCAGAGCTGTCTTTGAAGGCGATCACTTCTAAGCCAGAAAGACAGTCCAAGAATTAAACCTCCCAGGGCTAGTGGATGGTGAGGAGGTGAACAAAAGTATCAGGGGCGAAGGGACATGAAGGCCAGAGGGGAGGCAATGGTTGGAGTCAACCTCAACGCTGGACTTGCCAGACTTTAGAACTCTGAGATCTAATGTCATTGAAGCCACAACAGTCTACCATGTTTTGTTCTAGCTCCTTGAGATGACTAAGATGAGAGGCAAAGAGGGTCAGAGATAATGAAAGATAAAAGATAAAGAGGCCAGTGGGCCTCGAGGACACTCACAAAAACTCTAAAATAATGAATGAATAGTTACCAAACATTGGCAAATGTCGCCTGGATCAGCTGGCCGGAAAGCCTGAGTTTCCATTTCTGCTCTGGGGGCCAGGGTGGGTGTTCCCTTGTGAAGGGAGGCCCAAGGGCATTCCCACTTTCCCACATGAGCTCACGGCCCAGTAGCCACTTCCCGGGGGCTGCCCAGCCCAAAATGGTATTTCCCGCCCTTTGTCTTGGCTTTATTTCTCCACTTCTCTTTCCTGTTGGTCGCATCCTCTCTTTATAGGGAAATGCATCTCCGATTGTGGGACCATTTTCTTCAAGGCTGCTGCCTAGCTCAACATCCTCATCCTTCTGTGACCCAGGGAGGACTTAGGTGGGGCCTGGGGGGTCCTCAGCGTGCATGTCACCAGCCAACAGGTTAGGAACTGGCCGTCACTCAGCCTCTGAGGGTCAGGCACTGCTGGGCTAACAGCTACTCCCTGCACATTTCCAGGAATCACTGAAGGCCACCCCATCTTCTAAGAAGTCACATAGGGGTGATGGTGATTGGGAAAGAGGGCTGAGGCAGGAGCAGCTACCTAGTTCAGGTAGAGAGAAGCATTGGAGCAGAGCAGGGGACAGAGGACCATGGTAAGGCTGTGTGGACAGGAATTGGGGCTTGATTTGATGTAGATGGAGAAAGAGGCCCCAGGGAGACTTGTGGGCCTAGAGATTGTATGTAGGCACCTGCTATTAATTCTTACTGGGCTGGTATTTATGGGATGTGGTACTACTCTAAAACGAGCTGAAAATCTGGGTGTGCATTTATAGTCCCAGCTACTTGGGAAGCTGATGGGGAGGACTGTTCAAACTCAGGGGTGTGAGAATGACCTGATCATGGGTGTATGCTACTGGATTAGTCCACTGATTGGCTTAGCATAGTTCTGGGTGTGGGTGGCACCAACCAATAGGCTTGGAGCATGGAAGTAATGAGAAGGGAAAGAAGTCACACTGCTTCCTGCCTGCCTTGCCATGAATTGCTCCTCCTCTGTCACGTCTCTGTGCCTTGAAGCCATTCAGCTATGGACCAAAACCTCTACAAACTACGAGCTAAAATAAAACTTTCCTCCTTTAACTTGTGGGTGTTAGGTATTTTATCCCAGCTGGGAGAAAGTAACTAAGACAGAAGTGGAGTGGGATATGGGGCCTCCTGGAAAGTTGATCTTGGTGGCAGTTGCATGGGTATATATGCCTTAGTCATTTTCTCATTATAGACACCCATAATTTAAAGGAGGAAAGGTTTATTTTGGCTCACGTCTTTTAGAGGCAGCTGGTTCTAGGGCAGAAGAGGTAAGGAGGTGGGGTCTGCTGCAGAGAGGAGCTGGTTGTATTCTGGTGGCCAGGAAGCAGAGAGAGATGCGAGCAGCTAGGGAGGGAGACACTGCCAGGCCAGTCCTCAGTGACCCTCCTCTTCTGGTCAAGCCACACCACCCAACACCAAGCCTGCCCTAATGCCTGAAAAATCCAATCACCCTCCACAAACTCGGCCTCTGAGTGTGTGAGGCTTTGTGGGGAGGGGGAAATCTAGACATAATCCATAACAGCATACGTGTGTAAATATTTATCAAACTAGTTATACTTTAAACAAAGTTATAAGAAATAATGGGGTGGGATGTTCCTTCCTTCCACCCATCCCTCCATCCAGCACATTCTGAGAGCCTTCCCTGAGCCAGGCCCTGATGTAGCATAGTGACAACTAAGCCATCATTTGTTCCTACAAGAACCCTCGCTCCTTCCCTCTGCCTGGGCAAGTGAGTGAAGGGATCCTCTTCTGTTCTTGGCTGTGAGAAGGTGGAATCTTCCCAGCGGAAGGGATGAAGGGCGGAGCCGGGCTCTGGAAGTCCACACATCTGTGTTCACTCACCATGGATGAGAGCAAAGGGGTTGAACCCTGGCCAGAGCTTTGAGCCCCTTTCAAGGCAGATCTGCTGTACACAGCCTCAGCAGCTGAGCAACAAATCCCTGTCTGCTGGGCTGAAGTGGGAAGTCCACAAAACCTTCCCTGATGTTTATACCGTAAACCCCACTTTCCATAGTGTCCGTCATTGCCCAGGATGCTTCCTTTTCTTGACTCACTCCACCTTGGGTGAAGGCACTGAGTTCAAGTCTCAAAACTACAAGAAAAAAAAAAAGCATGTGAACTATCATGGTAGCACACATCTATAATCGCAGTACTTGGGAGGCTGAGGCAGGAGGGTTCAGAATTTGGTGTCAGCCTGAGCTACACAGCAAAATCTTACCTAAAAAAATACAACTGAATCTGTGCCAGGTGTGGTGGTACACACGGTGTAACTACAACCCTCTGTGAGGCTGAGGCAAAGGATCACGGGTTTGAGGCCAGCCTGAGCAACTTAGTAAGATCCTGTCTCAAAACAAAATTTTAAAGAGGGTTAGGGATGTGGCACAATGACAGAGAACTTGCCTGGCATGAGTGGGGCCCTGGGTCCTATCCCCAGAACACACATACACACAATGATTCCTGCACTGAACATTCACCAACTTTTCCGTGTCATACTTCCCTAAACAAGATAGTGTACCAATCATTTGCCCTGCCTTTATATTGTGCTAAGTATCAAATGTCACCTTGCAAGGATTTAAAGTGCACGAGAGAGTGTGTGGCCCTATGACCTGGCGTGGATGATGACCAGGCAGAGCTGGCCTGGCTGACCCTGGTGGTGGCTCCTGTATGGCTGAGTCAATCTGGCTCCAGTCTCATCCTTGGAGGACCCCAGGTCCTCGCACCCCAAGCCCTTGGCCCCCCAAGGTGAGGAATATGTAGCTCCACAGCCCCAGGCGCTGGGTCCTTATGCACCTGAACCGGGGGAAGAAGGCATCCGCTGGCAGTCCCATCCCCTGCCCTCCTCACT